AGCAACATGACGGTGTTTTGTTCCTGAATGAATCAACCGTTTAAATGATTCGGTTCAATCGCAATGACTCACTTATAAACTTATTGGGAAAGATTAATTTCTATCAGTGTGAACTGACCATCACACAGAATATGAAGAATATCAAAAACTTCAGGGCTGTCCACGGTAGTCCTTAAGATACCAGCACAATAACACACTCAGCAAAATATCGTCTAATTATCGTTATTGATAAAATCCCAGAAAATAGAGATATAATTTTTTGACAATATCGCACACCCCTAGCTTGTTGAAATACGTAGTGTATAGACGCCCATAAATGCCTGGAAATATGCGCAGGTTGAGACTGTGACCTCACCTTGACCTCAGCACCAGACGCTCCTGGCATCAACTCGGCAATCTTGCGCAGGTTAATACCACGCGTCAGGTTCATCTTCCGTGAGTGGATCTTCAGAATGTCCAAACGGGCCTGAGGAGAACAACATAAACGCCACATGGTTAGTGCTTGTATTTTTTACTTTCAATAATAGAGAGTCTATTTCAGAATCAAGTTGATACTGAAAATGTAAAAATATATAACAATTCCAGCCTACCTCTTCATTGGGAGGGGGAAATTCAATCTTCCTGTCAATGCGGCCTGGTCGAAGAAGCGCAGAGTCCAGAATGTCAATACGGTTTGTTGCCATAATAACCTGAGGGAAAAAAGAACATTCAGTAAACTCAGACTCTCCTTAAAGGGGTGGTTCAGTGGTTGTTTTCTAGGCTTGATTGTGTTTATGGGGTGCAGTCTAACATATGTTAATGCTTAATTTAAATAAAATCAGCGGCATGTGCTCCAGTTGTATTGTAAACAAAGGCGTCGTTAATATAGCTTATCAGTTTGAGCCCGGTTGAGAAGCAGAGGATATTAGTGAAGAGGATCGAGCAGAACCTGTACAAGCACGGCTTTTAATGGTAGGCCTATGTTTTTGTTTGTTGTTGTCTCATACTTTTAGATACGCTGTTATTTGTAAATGCTACTGCTTATGTTAGCTTTTAATATACAGTTTTATACTGATGAAAGCTTTAATACAGTACGGCAACTGCACATACTTTATGTTTAATTCTTCTCGTAGCTATGTGAAAATTGCTGCCTTTTCCCGAGGGCGGGGTTTATGATGGTTTGTGATGTCACAAACCCGGGAAGTAACTCGTTGTAGTCCCTACCAGCCGTTTTTGTAGGCATTAAACTGCCAGAATTTTAAAAGACGTTATCTCCGTTTGCATTGAACTTTCAGCTTCTAACTTTGCAGATATTGTTTATGCTCGAACAGCAGCATTACACACTAACGTTAAAAAAGTGAAATCGCAATGAACCACCCTTTTAAAGAAAATTATAAAAATGCAGCTGGAGCCAAGCACAGAAATAGTATAAATAGAAGTTTGAGTAATTTTGATTGGTCACAGCACCCCTGGTGGTGATGTTTGGAAAGGCAGTTGAATGAGCAATATAACATGGTAATCATACCCTTTGACCAGTTGGTGTAAAAAACTTTATATAGTACTACGGCATGTGATCAGCAAAAGACAAAAAAAAGAGGGAAAACACGCTTTGCTTTCTCTATTTAGTATGGCTATACAAAAAAAATATATATTATTATATTATCATTATTCATTTTTTTTTAATGTAAATTCTAAAAACAAAAATTCAGAGCATTTAATAATAATAACTGTCATTAAACAGTTTTTAATTGCCGCTTAATTTTTTTAATTTAAATGATTACTATTATTATTATAGTATTATATTTTACATGATAAATTAAATATTTATAATAATAATTTTTTTTTATCTTTGTTGCAAATTTCTTTCAAATGTTGAACTACAGAGATTTTATTTTTGGCGGAAAACCAAATGGATGATGCATTTTACAGGGTTCGTTCACATTTTTACCAATAAATTTCCATGACTTTTGAGACAATATTCATGACCTAAATGTTCCATTATTTTACAATAAGAATAAAAATCTGTTCAAATTATCATAGCATATGTTAACTAAAATGAATGACTATTAATGCTACTCGTTTGCTTTCTTGTTTTAGTAATAAGTACAAGCTGCAACTGCGCCAGACGTTACTCCACATTTCACATATCACATCACTGAATATTATCATTTATTTAACTGTGTGTTGGCCATTTTGGTGTCATTTTGTGTGTATTTTTGCTGCTTAAATGCAACAAGCTGCGCTTTAGAGCCCTATGTGAAGCCGTTTGAAGAGAAAGTCAAAGAGAGAAGACGAGTAAAGCTGAATCACTCACGCTGTTTTCAAATGACTGATTTGATCAGTCTGTGTGGACTGGACTCAGTCTGTAGGTTTGATTATTTACTCATCAAACCTACATGCTATAGGCTATTGAATAAATGTGTGAATATCCATCATTTTAAAGTCAAAAGCTGCGGGAATGAGTAAAACGATGCGATATAGCCTATGTGCAATCCCGCACCGAAATTCAGGACCTGATTAAACACAATTCTATTATACAGAGTTTTGTGAAATAGATTTCAATTACTTTTCCCAAACTTTCTGGGTTTATTTATTTTTCCAAAACTTTTCCAGGCCTGGAAATTGGTGTTTTAAAATTCCATGACTTTTCCAGGTTTTTCATGACCATACGAACCCTGATTTTAAGAATTCAATAAAAAGCTACCAACTTCTAAAACCAGAGATGAGAGACTTCTCATGTTAGCATCAGCACATAGGTTACAGATGTTTGCTTCTCACCTTGATGTTCTTGGTGGCCTCGAACCCATCCAGCTGGTTGAGGAGCTCCAGCATAGTTCTCTGCACCTCACTGTCTCCTCCTGATCCTCCCTCCAGCCGAGATGAGCCGATGGAGTCGATCTCATCCATGAAGATGATGGAGGGCGCGTGTTCCCTGGCCATGACGAACAGCTCTCGCACCATACGAGCTCCTGGAATACACACACAGAGTCAAAGAAGAACAAATCAGAGTAATTTTTAAAAAATTTTACAATTTAAAAAAGAGCTTTCAGAGCTTTTTGGAGCTTGACAGGCTCTGGTCAATATATGCTTTTATAATAACAAAAGAGCAGTGGGAACATTCTGCTAAACATCTCCTTTTGGGTTCCACAGAAAAAACAAACAAAAAAAAGTCATAGGTTTGAAAAACAGAAAACAAAATAACTGATTTTTCTGGAAGCACACCAACCTTCTCCTATGAATTTCTGCACCAGCTCTGATCCAGACACCCTGATGAAGGTACAGTCGGTGTGATGGGCCACAGCTCTGGCTAGCAGGGTCTTTCCTGTTCCAGGAGGTCCATACAGCAGCACACCCTGCAGACCAGCACATCACAGAATATGAAGCAGATCTGGTAGGCCAACAGACCAACTATTGAAAAAGTAGTACTCTTTTACATGATTGGCCTGATAAGAATAAATTATGCCATCACTTGCCTTGGGTTGTGCAATTCCTAGAGCCTCAAACAATTCTGGGTGCTTGACTGGAAGCTCGATCACTTCCTTGATCTCTTTGATCTGTTTGTCCAGCCCTCCGATCATCTCATACGTCGAATCTGGCACTTTTTCAACCATCATCAGCGAGACGAGTGGGTCAACTTTGTTTGGCAGGATTTTGTGAAGTGTGTAACTGTCATTTCGAAGTGCTACACGGCAATTTGGAGTTACCTGTTGGAAATGAGGATTCAGTTTACTATCAACATTAATACAAAATAGCTACAATATCAGTAAAAGTTGATTTTTTTTCTATTTTATGAGCCACCAGGCAAAAACTGCATCCTCTCCTTAAATTCCAAGGTATCCGAGGTATGACTAAAAACTAGGGATGCACAAATTGTAATTTGTGATTAAGATTATGGCTGCTTATGATCAATTAATAATTATTATTCTATACTATATTTTTAATATAAAAAAAAAATGCCCATTTGGCATTGCCATTATCTTGCATAGAGGCTTTCATCCCTGGGGTTGCCAGATGTTAAGATTTTAAATTCCCCAATCAGAGCTTTCTCCCAAATGGATACATTTTGTTTTATTTTATCTTCTCAACTTAAAATATCGCACTGCAAAAAATAAATAAATCAATTGTGACCCTGGACCACAAAACCAGTCATAAGGGTAAATTTTCTGAATAAATAAGCTTTCCATTGATGTATGGTTTGTTAGGATCGGACAATATTTGGCTGAGATACAACTA